GCCCCAATCTTGGACATTTAATAGAAGAAATTTCAAAGCTTAGCAGTTAACACTGATAAAGCAACTCTCCAGCTTTTTTTTTTTCTCCTCCTAAGGAAGCGAAGGGTTGGAGGAGGTAAGGAAGAAGAAAAAGAAGCAACCCGTAGGAAGGACCATCCCTGGCCCAACTGTCTAAAACACGCAAAACTGGGTTCAGTGTGTCCTCAGTACCTTCTCACTTTTCCTTGTTTATATTGTTCTTCGGGTTCAACAACCAACACTCCAGCACCACTACCACCAGGATCTTTCCGCACTACGTTAGTTATTTATTGCTGCATAAAACATTACTCTAAGACACAGTGACGTAAAACAACAGTATTGACTATCTCACAGTTTCTGTGGTCAGGAATCTGGGCAAGGCTTAGCTGGAGCTTCGGGTTCAGAGTCTCCCGTAGATTACAATCAAGCTGTCTGCGGAGGCTGTGGTCTTCTATGAAGATTCAACCAGGGAAGGATCCACCGGCTGTTGTCTGGAGGTCACCCTCAGTTCCCTGCCACACAGGTCTCCCAATAAGGCAGAAATGCCAATAAGCCTCAATAGTCACAAATGGCAACTTGTTTCATCAGAGTTAAAAAACAAAAGATGGGCTGTGGGGGGTATAAGGTAGAAGTCACAGTCTCTTATAACCTACTCTTAGAAGTGGCATCCCATCACCTTTGCTCTGTTCTACTCATTAGACACAAGTCATTAGGTTCAGTCCACACACAAGAGTCGCAGATTACACAAGGGCATGAATCCCCGAAGGTAGGATCATCGGCAGCCGTTTCAGAGGCTATCTGCCAAAGCCAGGACTAGGGTGAGGTGAATGAGGTGCCTAGGGTGCAAAATGGGAGGAAACACTTATGCTTACATGACCCCAAGAGTGAATCCCAGATAATCCCCCTCAGATACCAATCCAACTTCAATCTTGGCCCTGCTGCTGGCCACATGCATCCAACACACATATGCAGGCTTCGGATCACCCACTCAGGGCTCCTTCCCCAGACACTCAGTCTGAGCCTGTTTTTTCAGACAACCAACCCATGCTGCATACTTTCTTCTTGCCATGACCCTCTCTTGAAACTGAGCTGATTTGTGTTCCAATATTCCAACATGCTGTTGAAGAAAAAATGATTTCAGATAAGCCTAAGACATTTAATAATTGATACCTAGTTCATATGTAATCTCTAGATGTAGAGCAGTATTTATCAAAATGCAATTCATATACCAGATTCACTGAATATGCTTAAGGAAAATATAAGTTCTTGGGTCCTATCCTAGTGACCAGTGAATCAGAATCAGAGACATGGTATCCAAGGTGTTCCTTACGTTTACTGAAGTATGATAGCATGTAAGAAGGGACTTCAGTAGCCAGAATGCTTTAGGCCTAATATAATAAACTGAATTTCTGTTTGGCAAATTTGGTGAAAATTTAGGGGCACAGACTACATGATAAGAGTGGCTTTGGGATGGACTTGTACCCCCGAAACAAATAATACATTATATGTTAATTAACTGAATTTAAATTAAAAAAAAAGAGTGGCTTTGGGGATAGAGAAAGTATCTCCTTAATAAACTTCAATAACTCGTATAAATGAAATGCCAATTATTCTCATTCAAAGCCAGGTCAAACCAATGGCATAATATAACAAATTTGAATCTATTAAAGTGATTTATGCTTTTTAGATTTGGTATTACTAAATATGCATTACCATTCCACCAAAATGAACACTGATTTGGTTTTCCCTCCCATTTCCTATTTTCTGATGGCCAGAGGAAGAGGGCCAAGAGTTCCTGCACCTTTTCAATTAAAATTAGTTGCTAATTGCATCAGTGCTGGTAGGGGAAACCATTATATTGGCCTCATTGACTCTGCTTTACCCCTTAAATTACAGTCCTGTTGCCTGAAATGTAATCAATCCCTGTGTTCGAAATCAATCCCTTGTCTGCCTCCAGAGAATTGTTCATTCTTCTCCACATCAGGGCTATCATACCGAGCCAGTTACACAATGGGTTCAATCAGGTCAGAAGTAGAGGAAATCCCTATAGCTATTGGAAATCACAGCTTAGGAACAGGGTCAGAGGCAATTACCCAACTATAACTAAGCCAAACACTCAGTGCGAATTCCCAGCATCCTCCTGGCCCATGGGGTGTGGTTCCCTGAGGGGGAATGAGTAGGTGTTTATAAACAGAGGGTTCTAGTGAAATACACTTTCTACTTTAATATAACGAGCCCAGAATGATGATCAAGATGGTTTGACAAAAGAAAGTCAATGACATTTCAGAAGCCCAGCCTTGTAGAAGGAAAAAAAAAAACAAAACACACACCACTGTAAATATATTACCTATTTAAATTCAATAAGCTATTCTAGTATGTATTGCATTGTGTATTTATGTAAATAAGGAAAGATCAGAAGACAAAGTCCCATAAGTCCAGGGGTCTGTTTAAAGCACAAAACTGGAAAGGAAGGGGTTGTGGATAGAGGGAAGGGCAGCTGCTGAGGGGTCAGATGGTATGTTCAAGGCTGGGAATAGATGTAAAATGTGGCTCCGTTTCCTAACTGAAGGGCCAGCTTTTTGCTGAGAGGTATGTCAAATGGATTGTGACCGGGATGATAGAAATGTTAGTCAAGAAACACATGAAATCAGACAAAAGAGTTAATTAAGATAAAAAAAGTTTATGTATAATTTATGTGAGTTAAACGACCTTTAATTGGGAAGAGAGGGCGCCTGGGTGGCTCAGTTGGTTAAGTGACTGCCTTCGGCTCAGGTCATGATCCTGGAGTCCCTGGATCGAGTCCCGCATCGGGCTCCCTGCTCGGCGGGGAGTCTGCTTCTCCCTCTGACCCTCCCCCCTCTCATGTGCTCTCTCTCTCATTCTCTCTCTCTCAAATAAATAAATAAAATCTTAAAAAAAAAAAATTGGGAAGAGAAAGTCAGGTGTTAAGCTATCAGGTTGTTTCCTACAAAACAGGAGAAGGGTATACACACAAAAAAGGAAGTTATTTTAGATTTTTGCATAATTCTTAAGATAATCTACATAATTGAAACAAGCAAAGAATTTTTTTGAACTTTACATATTATTTCAAAATTATAATTTTATGTTTAAGTATCTCATGGTTAGAGGGCTATATTAAGTCATCTTTCTTATGCTGTTTAGTCATTTGTATGTTCACATATTTATAGTACCTGAGAGCCAGTGGAAATAATATTTATTAACTATAATGTTTACAAGCAATTAAGTTTGGCAGCAGTGCAGAGAGCATATATACATTATAGTGGGAAATAACTCTAGGAAGAAATTACAGCTTCGTCATGAAGAAACTTTAATATACTTTAATTGGCAAACAGTAAGGAATCACTGGAGTTGTTTTTAGTAGGAACTTGGCCTGAGAACTAATTTCTAATACTGAGCAGGATGAATCAGAGAAGACGAGGAAAGAATGAGGGAAACAACTCCGGATCACAAGGAGCCCCGAGGAAGCAGCACAGGGCAAATGGCCCCCAGAAGACCTGATTTGAGGAACAGTGAA